ATAGATGCAGTAGGTGGAAATCTGTGAAAGAACAGGGATGCCAGGAAAAAACAGTTGCCGTCTCTCCCCTTCACTTGCAACAAACACAATTTCTTATCTTTACACAACATTTTCTATCAAAACTTGCACAAGCAGGGGGTGCTTCATGTTTATTTTCCAGTAAATCTTTGCTTGAATGTCACTGCAACATACCTGGAATTAAAAGCCAGTTTGTGAAAAGCACACATAGATCCATTAATTCCAGGGAACCACATCAGCATTTTAATCAAAGCAGAGTGAAGAACAGCTCCTGTCCACACAGGCAGGATTATCAAGGATACTGTAACCTTATTCTAATTTATTCTGCAATCAAATATTTACCAGGCTTAACTGAAGATCAGAATGCTTTTTAAAAATGCACGGAAACAAGTCAAACATATCTAAGACTAAATCTACACTTGGTGTTTGGTTCAGGCTTGAGTCCATCATCTTCTGAATTTAGTCATTTCGGCTCTAACAAGCAATGTACCTTTGTAGGAAGGCAGCAACTAACAGCTGTGAGGTAGACAGCTTCCTAACAACGTCTGCATGGTAGCTGGTTACATGAGCCCTCTTCCTCATCCCTCCCGTTGCTCCTCTCCCAGGTATAAGGATCACTCCTGCAGTGCTCCCTAGGTGGGATTTTCCACCACTGCCTCCTTGAATCAAATAGCTTAATTACCAAGAAATTCTTTAATAAGACATAACACCAGTCAAACATACTTTCAAAAACATTCTTGAGTCCTTTTCCAAGCATCAGAGTGTCTTCTCTCCAAACCTTCAATTTTCTTTTCTTTGCTCACCATTTTGGAAAACCTTTCCAGTGCAATAAGAGTCAAGAACCCAAAGGTCACTATATCAAGACTGTGCCTGCATTTGGCATCAGCTCTGCGCGTGGCTGTGGCACTGACCCCGAACCTGTGAGAAGTGGCCACCGAGTAGAGTAAGCCCTGACACGGGCAAGCCAGTCCGCACACTGCTAGGTGGGGACCTGACACTGTGACAACATAAATTAGTGGGGCATAATTAATAGATGTAACGACCCAAGGAAGGAAACTACCTCATATTCTGTCAAAGCAGAAAGGAATGTTAAACTTTTGTTCAACTATAATTCTCATTATTATCTTTTATGTTAAGCTACAGCTAAAATAAAATAGCCCGTCCCTCTTCAGGCCACAAATTTCAGTCAATAGTACTAAAAGGAATTGCACTAGCTAGTTATTTTTAACTAGAAAGGCCACAGCAGCAACAATAAGTAGTGGCAAATTATTCTAAAATTAAAATTCAGATCCAGAGCTGGGTATCATTATTGCAGGTAATTAGTGCAATCAGTACAGCCTATGTGCAACAAACAATTCACAAATATCAGATAATTTGATCTGCAATATTTTCTTTGATGAAAGCAGCTAGACAATATTTCAATTGATAGTTTCTGTCCTTGGCTTTGTTTTCTGCTCTAACATTTGGGAACCCACTGCTCCCTATAGCAACTCTTTGTCTTGGATCAATAAACATTTTACGTTTCATGAAGCCCAGCCTGTGTACAGATACCTCTGCTGAATCCCCAAGGCAAAAATAGTCTTTTAACATCTCTTGAAAGTTAGTATATATAAAAGTCTTCTGATTGACCAGCCCTGCCAAAATAATATACAGAAAATCTTGCTGGGTTCAGTTTCAGAAGAAACCAAGAGAATGGCAAACCTAGACACACTGTAGGATGAAATGCCTCTGCTCCGCATGCAGAAGGCTGTTCCTAATTCAGAGTAAATAGCTATCGCTGTCCCGTGGATGGACAGAAGAATACACTTTAGTTTTTCTTTGTCAACCCCAGTACAACTCTGTCTTGTGTTGGCAGACTGATGCCTTCATCAGCAGTTCCTCTGTGTTCTGTAATAGCACTCATAGTCCTAAGGATTATTGCAATAGGTATTTAATAAAGAACTTTCTAATCCCTGTTGCTGATATTCTGCTACGGAGGTGAATGAGACTTGTTGATTCTAAAGGAGCATTTTATTTTAAGTCTTACTTAAGGCAAAAAAAAAAAGGCAGAACTAAGTGAAAGCAGTAATTTACTGCTATTTATCTCAAAGTGACAAAGTTGCTCATTCTTACCACTAGTGTTTAAAAATTTGAAACTAGAATTCTTCCCCCAAATAAATCCTGAGCTACAAAATCTAGCCCTGGTCCTATACAACTCTTAAAAACACAGATCAAAAAACATATCAGCTCTAACTGTTGACACACTTGTAAAATTACCTTGCATTGTAGTTTTCTGTTCAGCACTTGCAACAGGCTGTCCTGTGAGGATAGAGCTGTCCCACTGTGCCGGCGAAGCAGCCGAGGTTTAGGGGTCCCGCTTCCCAACCCCATTCCCTTCCATCCTGCAGCTGCCTTTTGGGAGGAGGGAAGCCCAGCGATGAGTTACTCTCTGGCCGTATAAGACACCACCTGCTTTCCTCGAGAGGCCAAGACCCTGACGCTGACTTCTGTCTTCTAAGTCCCTTTTTTCTATATCAGACTTAAAAGTCTTCAAAATAGCATCTGTTTTCATTATGGAAATTACTGTTTGTTTGATTTCATAGAGGATTTGGTTTTCCTACTCATTTTGTGGAAGACAATCTCACACTAAGCTAATGGACAGGGTAAAATCCTAAGATAAATGATACTGATTGCAAGTGTTCCAATAGTAATTATTAACTAAAAAGCCTGTAATTCACGCATTCAATATAAAATTCATAGGTCCTGTTAATATACAGTGGGTTAGAGAAACAGAGAAATCAGAACACTGACGAGAAATTTGTTTTCAAATCACTCCATAGGGCAAATTGTTGTACTATTTAAGCCAGAGATAAAATTACAGTGACTTCTTTGGGAATTAAGCCCACCTGATTTTTATTTGCAGTTTGGTAATGTAGTTGACAAAAGACAAAATAAAAACATTGAAATTTTCAGTATTAGAAAATTACAATCGCTTTTTTCATCTTGGTAGTTTTCTCAGGACAGATGTTCACCTGGGATGTAGCCATGCATGTCCAGGGAATACAAATAACATACACAAATTTTCCTGTTGAATAAATCAGTTTATTTTCTTTTTTCTTTATCTTGCTTCAGATGTCACTGATCTTTAGTAGATGTTCATCATGTGAGCTCTTGCTGTACTAGCTGCATCTTCTGTAGCCCCTGAGAAATAATGATACTAATTTTTAGTACATAATTATGAATATCCAAAAATACAAGATAAGGTTTTATAACACAAAATGAACTAAGATGGTCCACCAGGGAATCATATTTACAATCCTATTCCCTTTGCTTTTGGTCTTGGCTAGCATACATCTCTCATCTTTTACCATTGGTTTAAAGGAAGTCAAGCTCAGTATGAAAAATAAAAAAAAGGACCATTTTGGAAATATCTTCTGGTAGCATCATTTACTTCATGATTTCACCCAGAGAGTGATCAACAGCTTATGTAGGAACCATATCACACTCATTACAGAAAAAAAAGCAACAGAGATACTGGGAGGACTGCTCATTCTGTTACATATGGTTAATTAATACTATCCATTACAGTCCCAAGTCAACAAAAACTTGAATAGGTTTTAAGGCCAGCAGGGATAACTGTAACCATCTAAAATGATTTTTCCCACAATGCAGACTACAGAATGCTGTTTGGTACCGTCTGAATCAAGAGAGAGCTGGGGGGTGAGCTGAGGCACAGTCTCTAAAAAATGCATTCAGCCTTGGCTTTCAGGCTGCAAAGGATGGCAAATCCATTACAATCCGAAATCAATTGCATCAGCCATTAATAATCCTCACTGTTAAAAACGTGCATCTTATCTATACCCTGATTTCTCATAGATTCAGTTTCTAGTCCCTGCAGTTTTTATAACCTTACCTGAAAGATTAAGACATCTATTGTCAGAAAACTTTTCCCTCTGTAAGACATCACCAGCTGTTTCTAACCCTTCTGTTGCCTTCTGCTCAGCTAAGAAAGTTCCCCAGACATAATTCCTGTAAAGCTTTTCTGATCATTTTCCAATTGCTCACATTTATTTTTATTTGAAACATGAGCAGCAGAACCAGACCTAGTACGCAAGGATTTTTCCGTGCTGAATAAATTGACAATATCAGTTTTCTCCTTTCCTTCCGCAATATTTTTGCGTGGCTATGTATACACCTGCGTCTTTGTCCATCCCTGTGCAGTAAAGCATTTCAGCTTCAGTGAGTAAAACTGATGGACCTTAAGCATACATTCAACGATGCTCCTCAATATAGCCCCACTTGAGCATACTTCTACAGTCGAGAACATGTCCAGCTACTTTGCTAAATTGGCCTAATGTACAGTGACTTCCAGCCTCCTCCACCTCTGCCACTACCTCTTCTCGCCTGTTTTAGAGCCTAACCGTAATGGGAGGTTTTTGCTGGGATGCTTTTATAGCCTAAACCTCAGCAGCACATCTGTGTCTATATATTTTGACTTCCTTTTGGTGTTAATTATTTTTTATCTCTTCATATTGAGTATCTCTTAGACGAGAGAATGTGTGGATTTCTGAGTGACGCCTACTTTTAAATAAATATCATTCAGCAGAACAGTGGGTCTGTGTATTTTGAAAT